CAGCAGTGGGGTGGGGGCCCAGTGTGGTCCACTTGTCAGCTTTTGCAGAGATGCTGGACCTCCGCCCTCAGATACATCATTTTCTGGTCTTTTAATGCTGGTAACTAATTCAGATGAGGAAAGAAGGGAGGAAGAAAGGGTCGGAGGTGGAAGAGGGGAGAAAGGAAAGGAAGGGAGAGGAAGAGGGAGGGAAACAGTGTCTGAGCTGAACAAAACAGGCCATGGGTTTGATTGATCCCGTGGTCACCAGCCTGTAACCTCCATTCTTGAGAACGAAAACTTGTGTGAGACAAGCAGGTGTTTAGTATTTTTTTTGGGGGGGGGATATGTTTTCCCTTTTCTGGTACTTTAGTGTTTGTATGCAAAGCTTAAAACCCAACAGCAAGATATTAAACCTTCATGGCCACTTAATCTTCCCGATTGGATCAGACGTAACAAGTGCTGGAAAGCAGATGCTGCCCGTTTTTCTAAAATTTCTTCTATTTTCTTTATATTATTAGCTTTAAATATTCTTCTGAATGCACTTACCACCTCCATGCAGTTAAGCCGGTTCAATTTAAACATTGTTATAAAGTTAATTTTTTATAAGATGAATCAGGTTATTAAATTTAGTAAACCATTGCTTTCATTATTTTGCACAAACTTTGGCACTCTGCAGAATTGGCTCAGCACTACTACATTTAGCTAATTAAACTGGTCATCAGCCGTGGTATTAGGAGCATGAGGGATGCTATTCTCAGGAGTTTTTCCAAGACTTGAGCAGTAGGTAGCATTATTAAACTTTTTTTTCCTTTTTTTTTTTTTTCCCTTTCATAAAACTCCACACTCTAGAGATACAGTTTACTAGGAGAGTGTTATTGTCCTTCCTGCTAAACCTTCATCTTTTGAAATATCCATGCTTTGGTTTTGGCTCCAAAGGCACTTGTAAAGGATAAGAAAATGGAGCTCTCACAGCTTTTAAAAGGAGACCCACAATGTGTAACGCGTTGCTCAGATAAGGGAAGACGTAAGAGCCAGAGGGTCATTTTACACGACGCAGGTAGATGGCTGAACTATAACTACAGGCAGGGATTCTGTGAAACAGAGAGGGTGCAGACTTGTGGCTGCAGCCTGATGCTGTTATCACGTCGGGCGCCTTCCTTTTTGTAATAAAAAGTCCTTTGCTGTAGGTCATTTTGTCAACTGAGATAGTGTGACTTAAACAGGTTTGTTTCGGAAAATAATTTTTTTTTTTTTTTTAAGGATTTTATTTATTTGACAGAGAGACACAGTGAGAGAGGGAACACAAGCAGGGAGAGTGGGAGAGGGAGAAGCAGGCTTCCTGCCGAGCAGGGAGCCCGATGCGGGGCTCGATCCCAGGACCCTGGGATCATCACATGAGTCGACCGCAGACGCTAAATGACTGAGCCACCCAGGCGCCCCTGGGAAAATAAATTTTGACAGGAAACAGGCATGCTCTTCCCCACAGATTTCTAGCTGGTGTCATTCAAAACTGCTGTGAGCCCTGTCTTTGCAAGATCTTAATATTTATTCATTGTTAAAAAAGGAAGTCAGAGGGCCATCAGTGTTGTTTGAAACAACTTGGATTGTTTTGCGGTAGTCCAGACTTGTAGCCTATGAACAACCTCTACGAACCTGGCAGGTATTTGTTGAATCCCACTGGGTGTTAGTCCCATGGGACACAGGGATCAAAAAGGCACAGATTCTAAGGAGTTTATAGTTAAACTGCTAAATTCGATAAATGGAGCCCCGGGGTCAGCCTGGCCCTGTGTTGTCTCCATGCCCTCGCGGCCCCTTAAAAAGATGGTTGCTAACGAATGACCAAGCATTGTGTCCGCCATCTTTCCCAACATCATGTTTTTTTCCTTTTCTATCCTCTGATGAAAATGTGATGAAAAATATTCTTTATTTTTTTTTAAAGATTTTATTTATTTGAGAGAGAGAATGAGATAGAGAATGAGACGGGGGAGGGTCTGAGGGAGAAGCAGACTCACCACTGAGCAGGGAGCCCCATGTGGGACTCGATCCCAGGACTCCAGGATCATGACCTGAGCCGAAGGCAGTCGCCCAACCAACTGAGCCACCCAGGCGCCCCTATTTTTATTTTTTTTAAAGATTTTATTTATTTGAGGGAGAGAGTGAGAGAGAGAGCCCAAGAGGGGGTAGGGTTAGAGGGAGAAGCAGACTCCCTGCTGAGCAGGGAGCCCGATGTGGGACTCGATCCCGGGACTCCGGGATCATGACCTGAGCCGAAGGCAGTCGCTTAACCAACTGAGCCACCCAGGCGCCCTGATGAAAAATATCTTGATAATTGCTCTGACCTGGACATTTTATAGGGACACAGAGTCCACCATCTCAACAAGATCTTCTGGGAGTGCAGGTGAAGTCATTTTTGGCCACTTCACGTTCCCTCCATACGGCTGTCAGCATTTCATTAGTCTGATTAATGTAGCACATCAGTCAGCAAGATTTCATCCTATGTCTGTCCCCATCCAGTTTTGGAACAGCTTGGCTACAAAACCTGGTGTTTTACTTCTTTCTCTTTCCCCAAATGATGTAGGTACCTTTTGCCACTGGTGGTAAGTGGTGTAATTGGCATCACGGATCAAAATTAGTAAATTTCAGGTTATTGTCTTCTTGCCTCAAGAAGATTCAGCTTCAACCCGCTTTCATTACATACACCAAGGAGGTTGCAAACTGATGTAGATGTTAAGTATTTCAGATTGGAATTCCTTTGGGCATCATGTTAGCATCAGATTCAAGTATAGGATGTTGTCCTTAGATAATGGTAATGTGAATATCTCGGGATAAAGAACTTGGCATAATCTGAAAAATAAGTTATCTCAACAGTGAAGTTCCCGTGTGTTCCAGAGCCAATATTCACACAAATGGAATGGTGGGGCTTGTAGCTAATTTCTTCAAATTCTGGTTGATATTAAAACCAGTCAGCTCTTGGGTTGCTGCTGGGAGCAGATCGAGGAGAGAGTGTTAACTTTTCAGTTGTAATGACCGTTCTGTATTTGATAGATCATACAAATCACAGAGGAGACACAGGAACTTTACACCAAAGATTTTGGAAAGAATGGGAATTAACACTTGTTTTCCACCTACTTTTGTTATATTAGGCTCTTAGTGTAAGTTAACTACTTACTCCTCATTTTAAGAAAAGATCTCTGAGTTTCTCATGGGTTAAAGTCATAGCCCACAGCTTATAAATAGGTAGAGCTGGGGTCAACATCCGTATGTCAAACTCCAGAGTTTGAGTTTCCCACTGTGACCTGTGCTGGCTTCCCCCCCGAGAGCTGGCTGGCCTCCGTGAAGATTAGATATATGGAAGATACGAATGAGTGAATTTTGCTAGACTCTTTCACATGGCAATCTCCGTAAGATAATGGTACTCTGATTTTGCGTACATATAAGCAGTATCTTGGAAACAATCATCTGCGGTCATTTGACATGGCTTTGGCTGAATCATGTTGCTGCTCCCTCTAGTAGGACTGATTGGTTTGTTGCTGTGGTGCACTTCGTGTGGTCTCCCATGCAGCTTACAAGAGGTGCCTGAGAGCAATGGTGTGGGCTTTAGGCTTCTGGAATTAGACTTTATAAGAGTTCTTAGTTGTTCCACATACTTGCCAATGTTTGGTCTGGTCATTTTAATGTTTAGCCATTGTAGTAATGGGAATGAGTAGTATCTAATTGAATCTTTTTAATTTTATTATTATTATTATTTTTTAAATCTCACTGTATCTTTACACTTCCCTAATGACTAAAGAGCTTGAGGCTTATAAAATAGTTGAGTTTTTTTTTTTTGCTTTTTCTATTTTGTGGAAGAATTTTTGGAAGATCGGTGTTTTTATTTTCTTAAATGTTTGGTAGCCTTTCTGTTCAAAACATGGATCCAGAGTTTTCATTTTGAGGCTTTTCTTTAAATATATAGAATTTTTCCTAGATTATGCATTGTTATTATCAACAGAGTAATTCTGCTATGTATTCCAAAATTTGCAAGCTATTATTGTTATCATTTCGATTTTTCCATAAACTTACCTTTGTGTTACTTTGTTGCTTTCTGCACCTCCAGATTTCGAGGGTCGTTTTCCTCCTTCTTGAAGAGCATCCTTGAATGTCTCCTCTAGGCCAGATCTGGCCATAGATGGTGACGTAGCCTCTCAGCTTTTCATTTGTGTTGTTTGGTTTGTTTAAAAATTTGTTCACCTTTACTTTTGAAGAATTCCTTCACTGGGCATGGCAGCACCAAAGCTGGCTCATCTCTTTTGGCTTTCCCGCCATTCCAGGTCCCCAAATCCTCAGTCATAGTGTCCCTTTGATGCCTTCAAGGATGTGTGCATGTGTGTGCACGTGTGTTGTTTGGTTCAGCTTTTTTAATTGTTCTCAGTGGAAGGGTGGGTGTAAGAACTCCAGGCTGCCATTTTTGGATGCGTGTAGCACAGCGCAGAGTGCATTGTCCAGAACATAATAAAAATGTTGTATGTTTGTTTTCCTTTGCAGGTCTGTTTTTTCTTATTATAATGAGTGTGAACTCTTCAAGGGCAGTGGCCATGTCTGAGTCTTTATACATGCTTATTCTTTATATTTAACACAGGATCTTCTCATTAGGTGGTTGTTATATATGGGGGACTGTGCTGTGAGCTCTCCTATGGTTTGTCCTACGCCTTGGGGATGGTGTGTTCCTGGGCTAGGTTTTCTCAACCTCAACAATGTTGACACTTAGGGCCAGATGATTCTTTGTTGTGGGCACTGTCCTGTACTTTGTAGGGTATTTTGTAACACCCCTGACCTTTACACACTAGAGGCCAGTAGCACTCTGTCCCCAGTCGTGACCACTGAAAATGTCTCTATGCATTTGCAGCTGTCTACCAGGGGACAGAATGCCTCTGTCTGAGAGCCTCTGGAGCAATGTGTGTGGTGCTCAATAAAGGCCCTTCAGGTGAGTCACTGTTTTGCATTGTGTCTTCTAACGTTGACTTTCCTTTAAACCATAGGGTTTGAAACTGCCAAGTCTTTTGCCCTCCATGGTGCACACGTGATCCTTGCCTGTAGGAATGTCACAAGGGCCAATGAAGCTGTGTCACAGATTTTAGGAGAATGGGTAAGTAAGCCCTTGACCATTTTTTTTTTTAGTTGTCAAATACACATGCTGGGATAAACACATGGAGGTTTTAGTGCAGTGCATAAAATTTATTGCTCTTCAAATAACGTTTTCTTTATTTTTAAAATCATATTAGCTTTGTTTATTTTATGAATGAAAGGACAAGCAAGCCTGTATCCATACATTGTTTATGGTGTTCATTGTCAATGTCATCTGCTTTATTAGTCAGAGGTTTGAGAATGTTTACTCATTCAGCTCATTTATTAAGAAAATAAAATGTAGTTAACGCCCATGCATACAGCTAAGAGTTTGTTATGCTAATGGTTTTTAAGATTGGATGGGGGTGGGCTTTAACTCTCTCTGTGTTTTTTACTTTTCGCTTTTCTCTCTCTGCGTGGATGTTGGTGCTGATACGTCTGTGCACAAACATTTATCAAAGGCCTGCAGTACTCTTGAGGCTGAGGATGTAGCCTATCAAACAGAACAAAATCCCTGCCCTCCCTTGGGCTTACTGTCTAGGTACGGAGAAATGGACCATAAGGGATAATTTTATTTAATATTTAACACCCTGCCGGGTTGTTATAAACACAAAGAAGCACAGTGAAGCAGAGGGAGGGATGAACAGTTACAGTGTGGGCTATTTTAGTTTAGGTACTTAGCAGAGAACTCTCTGAAATGGTGATATTTGATATGAGACTTGAATGAAGTAAAGTAGCGAGCTGCATCAGTGTCAGGGGACATGCTTTCTAAGTGGTGGGAACAGCATGTGCCAAGGCACAGAAGTAGGAGTGTGCCGGAGGATTCAGGATCAGCAGGGAGGCCAGTGTGGCTGGAGCCAGATGGCAGGGGCAGAGGTGACAGAGGCGCTGCGGGGGTGTCCCTGCGGCCGCAGAGCCAGTGAGGAAGAAGACAGCAGGGGTTTGAGCTAGAGAGTGGCACATGTTGGTCACTTCTGTAGCATGATCCCTGGGCTTTGGCATGAAGTATTTGCTTGTCATTCACATGTTTATGATGTGTACCCTGTCATGGGTACTGGGGGCTATATTGTCTCTGTACAGCTTTCACCCCAAAGTGGAAGTCAGATTTAACCAAAGACACAGAAACATCAGTGTGAACCTGAAATGCTGGTACTAGGTACTAGGAAGTATGTAGTACTCCCAAATGGTGAATAAGGCCTGGAGGTGGGGGACATTTGGAGTTTCTGAGAAGGAAGCGACGGAGCTGAGATCTCAGGAAAGACCTGGGGGGAGGTTGGAAAAGGTTGGACTGGGCAGAGGGAGTGGCCTGTGTGCGCATCCCTGGGAGGGGGAAGGGGAAGAGCAGGAGGAGACCCTCGTGTGGCTGTTAGTGGAGCATAAAGGGGGTTGGATAATCCTTCCCAACGCTGTCTTTGTCGTCGTCGTCGTCTTCTTCTTCTTTTTTAAAGATTTAGTTATTTGGGAGAGAGAGAGAGAGCAGGAGGGGCAGAGCGAGGGACAGAGAGAATCCAAAGCAGACTCCACGCTGAATGCAGATTCCAACAGGGGGCTTAATCTCAGGATCCTGAGATCACGACCTGCGCTGAAACCAAGAGTCAGACATGCCACCCACGCGCCCCCCTCTCCTTTTTAAAAATTTTTTATTAAAGATGTCTTCGTTTTCTGAACACTGTGGAAGATTTCTTGCCATTGGAAGAAACAGACCATGATTCCTTTAGGACAGTGTCTGGTGTTCTAGGCTAAAAAGTTATCAAGTTAAGAAAAGGAAGATTTGTTTCTGCTTTTTTACAGTATATTTCAAATGAAATATTACAAATTCAGTATATTTCAAATGAACCCTTGTCTTGAGTTCTCTGAATTCTTTAGAGTTAAATCGAAAAAAAAAATACAGGGCCCATTTTCTTTTGATGATCGTAGTATCTCTGTAATGCTTAAGTAACAGCCTATATTAGGTGAGGTAGTAATCGCCTTCAGAGATGTACAAGGCAAACAGATGGTAGCACGGGCATAGGGTCTGCATCTTCGCACAGGTCTGGGAAGGTAGAAAATAAAAAGTGAAAATCCCTCCCAGGACTTCCCTTGGAAGGTAAATATTATTAACCATTTCCTATATATTCTAGCAAACATACACATGCTGTTACATACTTTGAATTTTTTCACTTAATACCATTAGGAGATCTCTTCTTGTCAGTGCATGTAGGTCCACCTTGTTTTTTCACTGCTATATAATCTCCATCGTGTGCTTATGCTCCCACTTAGCTGAGCAGTGTCCCTTTTGGTGGACTTTGAGGTTGTGTTGTTTTCCTATTCTGAGTGATGCTGTCTTAAAGTTCAATCTCCTGTATTTTTACCCAAAATTGGGTCTAAACTGTCCTGCAGTGAGCATTCTTCATATATACTTTCATGAGTGACATAGGGCAGAATCTTAGCAGTGGACCCATTGATTCAAAGGGTGTTTGTATTTAAAATCTAGCAGCTTCCCAGTAGTCATCTGGCGGGATCATAGTGGTTTCTGTCCCTACTGTCAACGAGGAAGACGACCGGTATCTAGCAACAGACAGTGTCAAACCTGCCATTTCGCCCATCTAGTGTTATACTTAGACTGGACAAAATGGAATTCAGTGGCCCTAGTGATACTGTAAGAACCATATTGTATAATGGTAGGAATATTTAAACCAGTCTTGGAAGGTAATACTAAAATCTAAATGTTTATGCATTTTAAAAATTGTCTTCTTTCTTCCTTACGTAGGAGCACGGTACATCTCTGTTTAACCCATTATCACCATTGTTTGATGCAGAGAGGCAGCAAGTCCTGGGTGTTCCCTGTTTACCTGTGGGGCCTTAGCGAGCCTTTCAGTCTATTTTGTGTCTTCCATTTCCTCACCTCTGACAAAGAAGGTTGAATGGCATGAGCATAAAGACCCACCATTTAGTTTCTCTTTCTTGCATTTGAAGCCGTACTTGGGTGTCTCGGAGTCAGTTTCAAATGACACAATGCATCCTTACCTGCTTTCATTCTACAGTATCAGTCTCTTGACGTCGCCTGGCCAGCAGTGCTCCCAGAGAAAGAGTTACCCCAAAATACTCACTGTCAGACACATGAGTAAAGGAAATGGGAACAATAACAAAACTAATACTCACATGGCATTTCAAACATTTAAATCAAATTTTGTAGGTTGAGACTAATCTCTTTATCATGTCTCATCTCTTTGCTTCTTCCCTGTGAGCACCGTTCTACCATTTCTTTATCCCCCTAGATTATGATTGTGGAAGCTCAAGTATGGTACCAAAAGCCAGGTCGTGTTGTTGCACTATCACCATAGTGTCAAGAGTGTGCAAACCTGTCTTCGTGATCTGCCGTGAACTCCCCTCGCTACCCCACCGTCAGGGAGTGCTGGGCTGGCTGCCTTCAGGCCCTTCCCTACCTCATCTCTGTGCAGGGCCTTAATCTGGCACATCATTAAATACCACCTTCTTGTGTTTCTCAAGGTCAATTTGATTGACTCCAGTTTTTCCAGCTGCTAGCCAGCTTGAGCATGTTCATACTTTATCTGGGATGAATCCTGTCGGTAGCAGAGCCAGGAAGGTACTGCAGCATATTGGCGCCTCACGGGAGACTTGAAATGATCCAGAGTTTTTTGTTGCAGCAAAAGCTCTCTCCGAAGTCTGTGGGCCATTTGGCTCAGCATTGGCTTGCATGTGCCAGGGCTCTGTGGACATTCTCAGCTTGGCTCTGGAGATGGAGTTCATGCCTCCTTCCCCAACTTATTCTTCCCTGCCTGGTCTTTGCTTCCCTGCCTCCACAGCTCTTTCTAGAATTGCCGTGTTCCAGAACCTTCATGTCTGCCTCCAAGCCGGTGGGACATTATTCTCACGGTCACAATGGGGCATCTCACAACTACCCTTTAGTGAGTCCCTGTCATGTGCTGTGTCCCAGGTGAGGCACTTTATATCCCTGTTCAGGAGATGCAAAAGCCTGGTTTCCTCCTTTTTACAGAAGAGCCAAGGGAGGGCCCAGAAGGGTGAAGGGACCTCCCAGAATCCCACACCTGATGAGTCCAGAGGCAGGTTTCCGGCACAATTTGTCCATCTGCCCTCCAAACCCAAAGTCTGTCTACTTCATGACCCGGCTGTTCTACCACATTTGGCATCACGCATGTTTGTGACCTTTCAGGCTTTGCTTTCAGAATTGCTAGATGCTATCTGAGGGATTAATTTCAGGATTAACCCTAATTTCTCACAGGGAGCAACACTGATGTACCTTATTGTTCTAAGCAATCCCTTTTCATTCAAGACATCCTTTATAGAGTTCTCAAACCAGTTTTGGGGGATCTAGCTATTTAGTAAAATACAACTTAAATGAAAACACATTCCATATGGAATTATATTAAAAGCCTGTATGTAATTATGACTACTAATAATTATTTCATGGGAAAATACCCTCCTGCTGAGATGTTTTGGTTGCTTGAAAGTTAGTAATAAGAATTAAAAACAATTAAAATTGGATAACATGGACAATATAGAAGTAAACTATCCTCTTAAAAGGCCAATCGATTTAGCATAATTTAAAAAGGAGGGACGGGAAGGAGGCCCATCATTCCCCAATTGTATTTAAATGAAGTGTCTCTGGAACTGGGATTCAGTACCTGTGTTGTTAAGCAGTCCTTAGGAGGATGTGATCTCCCTCATTCCTGTCCTTAAGTGGATTACGGACTAGTGTCCCCTCCCTCTAAGACAAGCACCTGATCTTTCCCTAGGTATGCCAAGGAGCCCATATGGCTGGCTAAGTAGGAAGTTTACTTTGCTGTTTTCAGGATCGGGTGGAGTCTCTTTCATTTAGCAGCACTGTCTGGCTGTTAGGATTCCATGTGAGTTCTCTGTGTTTGGGACACTGATAGATTTGTCTGAGTCCTCGCTGTGCTGTGTTGATACTTTCCGTTCCTCACTAAGTTTTGTTGCTGTGTTTATGGAGGTATGGCCCGTCCCACTCCCCATCCTGAAATCTGAGGACCCCCAGGGGGA